GGGCGGGGGGGGGGGGTGGTTTGCTTACCACAGCATGAGACAGGTGTTTTCACAGCAGCCCAGCAACGCACCAGCCACGGCTACAGATGAAATGGTGCCAATGCTGCAGCAGCTGGTGTATCTAACTTCTCTCAGCTGTTGCCCAAACTTCCCAGTGAGCCTGGTTTCATTCTGGTTTCATTCCCAGTGAGCCTGGTTAAAGCACTGCTGAAATACCACTACAGCCAAGTCAAGTCAAGAAACCTGCAGAGAGCAGGGAAAAAAAAAAAGAAACAACCCCAAAACCCAACTATCTGAGCAAATCCTTCACTCCTGTTTTGATACACCCTTGTCTGTTCTTGCTTACCTTTCTCCACAATGGCAGCTGAGGCAGGATCTCAGCAGCTTTCCGATGGCAGCACCAACCCACGCTGTGCCCCAGCACTGCTGTGCCTTGGCATTCCTCTGTGAAATACTGACCAAGTCCTCGGCAGCCCGAACCGAATTTGGTCTTGGCCTGCCTTGAGCAGGAGGTTGGACTAGAGACTTCCCAAAGTCCCTTTCAATTTGAATGATTCCCTAAGTCAGAAACACCAGAAAGGAATTCAGTGGCTGGCACACACGAGGATGCAGCACATGGAAGCATTACTAGTACCGAGCCATTACAAAATTACAGACCACTCTTAATGTTGTCGCTTTATCAGCCAAGGTATAATAAAACCAGTGTTTTGAACCCAATGTGACATAAGCTATAGCAGTAAAAGCACGATTTTTGACTGTGTGACCGTATCTGCACACACATTTTGTGCCAGCATCAGTGTCAGTCTGATGTGACACGATTGACTCACACAATTTACTTGTGTAGGTCTGCACTCCTGATTTGAGAGGGAAGCAAGAAAAAATAAAAACCTCACAGAAATAAAAACATAAGCATACCATGTATCCACAAAGAAGTGTCTGAATCTTTTTCTATCAAATAACTGAATTCACAAAACTACCTGCGAGGACTTGTTCTCTGAACACCTGAAAAACCTTCTTCTAACACTTTTACTAACTCCTGTTTCCTGCTTTTGAATGACCAGCTCATGGTTGTGTAACTGTAAGATCACTGCCTGCAAGTGATCTTCTTTCGGAAGGAGCCTTAGTCGTACTTTTTTATTTTTTAAGATTGCATTGTAACTCTTATACTGAGCACTTTTCAGATGAGGCTTTACAGGGTGGATCACTGCCTAGCCAAACCCAGGCTGGCTTGGGCTTGTGCTGCTGGTGGTTATGACCGCTGGAAGACACAACGCCAGTTGTTTGGGTGAAGCCAGGTCTTCATCCCTGAAGCAAAACTAAACCTAATCTTGTACTCAGAGCCTGGTAACTAGAGAATAGGGTAACAAAAAAAAAACAACCACCTGACACCACAAGAGGTGGGCTAAATATCATGAATTGCCAGCTGGCAAACAGAAGTGAAAAGGGCTGGTTATTCCTGAAGAATAAGGCGGCTTCTGAGAATATTAATATAATATCCAAATGGGGACAACTCTAAGTACCAAATATTAGGTAAAAGTGATGTCTCTAATGTGGAAAAAACCAGCCCCATCGAAACCATCCTGGGAAGAAGACCTGCCTAATGCTTGTAGAAATGTGGACAAACTTTTTTTTTTTTTCTTCCCCCTTCTCATCATGTCACATCACCTCCCCAGGTAACTTTGTACAAAGACACTGATGGAGAAGACTTTGGGTTCAGCGTCTCAGATGGTTTATTGGAAAAAGGAGTGTATGTTAAAAACATTCGACCAGCTGGCCCTGGCGATCTGGGAGGTTTAAAACCATACGACAGACTTTTACAGGTAATTTCTGGTACCACACGGGTTTAGCACGAAGGGACACGAAGGCCAGATTCCTTTGTAACAGCTTTGTAACCGCACTGTGGGGTGTTTGGGGCTCTGGCTACACAGGCATGATAGAAGAAGACTGCATGAAGTGGGTTGTGGTTTTTTTCATCACTTATTTGGAGCAGTCTTATTATCTACATTATGTTTTTAAACACTAAGCAGTATTCTTTTGACTTTGTGCTGGGAAAGGCTGTGTGTAGGGGGACGGGGAGGACAACTGATCATAATTGCTCTGTGCCACAGGCCGCGTGAATCGCTCAGAGCCTCCGTAAGAAAAGAGTCACCGTTCATGGTGACTCGGGCTTTTATGCAGGGGCTAGATTTTCCTGTGAAATCATGTTTATATGAACACATTCTTCAGAATGTTAGGTATTTCAGAAGCCCAAAGGAGACATACAAAGGCATTTCCAGACAGATTGGTAATTGTTCCTGTTCTTGATACCGATTTCAGAATTGTTTCTGTGCTTAATCCAAGTTGTTGACTGACATAGTTGGAATAATGATGTCATACTCGCTCAGCACCACACTTACCCCAGGGCCAAGCTGGACTGTGATGAAAAAAATAGTCAACTAGCCCAATAAAATATTTTATATAGAATTCTATGTATTATTAATTAAAACCAGAGAAGACCTGAACTAAATTGACATTTTAGATGCGATCTGTTGCATTGAATGTTAACACCATGAAAGACGCAGAAACTATGTGCTGTTAAGTGTCACTTTCGGAGTGGGCCTTGTGACAGCTGTCACCGGTGTAAAGATGCCCACTTCAGCTACCTTCTGTTAAAGGGTGAGTAGAAGACTCAACTGGTATCTTCAGACCATTATGGTTATAGTGTCTTGTACTGGGCGATTCTCCACCTGGAATATTTAAATCAGGTTCCATAGTCTCAAGGATAAATCTGTTTCTCTTGTGGTCTCATTTCTTTTTCCTAAATGGTAATAAAAATCAATCTTCTGATCGCTCAGGTGAACCACGTTCGCACCAGAGACTTTGACTGCTGTCTAGTTGTGCCCCTCATCGCCGAATCCGGCAATAAGCTGGAGCTGGTGATTAGCAGAAACCCCCTGGCATCTCAGAAAGGAAGCTCAGAACAACAGACTTCAGCAAGTGGGGAATGGCGTGACCAGAACAATGCCTTCCTTCAACAGAGCGGACACGCTAACGTTAACGCAGAGACACGGGATCCTACAAACACGTTATAGCAGAAAATCGTTTCAGCGGGACATTCAGTAACGAAAGACAATTATGGTGCTAAATCCCTTTTAGAGTCCTCCGAGATTGAGGGTCAGATGCTATATAGCACTAAAAAGCACAGGAGGTCAGGCTGTCTGTCTCAAGGCTTGTATTAATTCACGGTTACTTTTGAAAAAGTTTAACTCTTCGTTAAGTCATTCCATTCTAAACAATCTTATCATTAGCAACAGTACGAAAAATCATGAGGGTCTTTTTTCCTTCAAGTAAGAAGCTGGGAAGATATTTTCAACAGGATTTGTGTTCCTCTGCCTTCAGCAGCAAGTGCTGTTTGAGGGAAAAGCGCAGAGTTAACCTCTGCTAACAGCGGTGTCCAGGTCCTGGGGTGTTTAAAACCATCTTATGAGAAAGGTGCTGTCTGATGGACAAGCTGCACGGGGTTTTCTTTTTAAATGGCTAGAGCTGTCATTTTGTGTTCTGCTGGCAAGAAGGGTGCACTCTTCAGCCAAAGCACGGTTCAGGTGTTTTAACAGAACGCTCGTAGGAGGCAGCGGTACGCAGTGAACGTTACTCCCCCGCTTTGGTAAATTCTATTAGAACGTACGTGGTTCCCTATGCAATGAAATATTTAACAGTATGGCTTGCAACCTGTGGGGATTTTTAAGCAGAGACTTTTTTAGTGGGATAAAACCTCTGAAGGAAAGTAAAACTGAAATGAGTTCAGACAAATTAGAAAGGTTTTAAAAGAAAATGACCTTTTTTTAAACTATGTCAGTGGAAGATTGCTACAAAAGCTCTTTAATGATCCATAAACCTGTAAATTTGTACTGTCACATGTGAGCTTTTTAAGTCAAACAATTTCTTGAAGGGACAAAAATCCCATATAATATGCTTTGTTTTCAGCCTTCTTTATGATAAACATTACCCCCCCGCAACACTTTTTTAGAATTTAAAACTGTAAATATCTTTTACAAATACATCACACAAAATTCTCTCCTCTCCCCTCTCCTCCCCAGGCAATAAAATACTGCCAGTTGCTTTAGATGCTCACCAGCAGCTGCTTTGGTTTATTCCGGTATTCAAGTTGTTATTGGTAATTCTTGTTATTGGTGAATATGAAGATACTGGATTTGTACATTTGTAGAGTCTCCATATCTACGCAGTCACCTTACGGAGTTGTTTCTGGTCAATTTACATTGTTTAACTGTATCCCCGTTGCTGTTTCCAATACATGAACAAGCTCACCTGCCCTGCACACACAAGTATCTCAGATTTCTAGTTCAGCACTGCCAGAAAAGGTCAGAATGACATTCAATGCTGAATCATGTAAAAAAAAAATAAAATAAAAATGTTCATGAGTCACTTAAATATGTATTTTTATTTGTAACAAATAAGTATTAAACTGTAAAGTATTTTTGTACAAATTTAATACTTTAATAGCATGATATTTATCGTCTATGTTATGGTTTTTTGAAATTCAAACTGTTGCAAATATTTGTATGGAAAAACTGTATAAATTGAAATAAACACTGATTTAAAGACATTACAAATGAGGTAGCATTTTTCTACTTTATATTTTCTCCACATATTTTTTCCACAGTTTTAACAAAACCTACCATGTTTATATTTGTGGTATACTTTTTTCCGCCATATGTGTAAAAAAAAAAAAAAAAAAAATTGTTAAAAGCAAGCAAGCTGTGCAAATTTTAGTACCATTTGTCTGATGTTTAAACATTCACCTTATTAATCTCAAAAACTACAGTGCGGCAAGTTACACAGTACACAAAAAAAGGCTGAAAGCGGAATGTTATTTGAACGCTGACTTGGATTTTTGCATTTCTTACCGAGATCATTGGTCATTTCTTACCAAGATCATTGGCCTAGAACTATTGGCTAAAGCAGCAACGACAAGTTCTATTTATAACAAGATTGAAAATCCATAATCCATCAAAGATTCATGCCCATAAATCTGCCACATTAGGAAAATCTAAAGGCCCCTTTGTACACTGGTTTTTGACTCAAGAGCAAACTGCAGTTTTCGCACATCGGTAAGAGCTGCCCAGCGCTGCTGTAGCATTAGGAGAAGGATAAGTCTTGGTGTGGACGGCTGCAGTCTTTAAACCTAGAAATCCCCATGTATTTTTAAGGGAATGTCTGGATCCTGTAAGAAGTGTCAGTTCATTCTTCACCAGAACAAAAGAGTGATACAATTTTTGATGACTGACACACCAAGGAATCTCCTCCTACAAACAGATCACTGGAAATATAAAAGGCTCGCTTTGAAAATCATCTGCATATCCAGCTTCTCTCTTCCAAAAATCTTGAACAAAACAGGTTCGAGCAAGGTTCATAAAACTTAGTTTTTGAAAAGTTTCCTAGGAGGTGGCTGTTCCAAAGTTAGATTCTTAAGTCTGGAAGACCCAAGTGGGGAATCTTGTACCGCTGTCTGTCAAACCAAACCAAAACAAAAACGTTACCAGAGTTTGACCCAGAACTAAAATACAGTAACATCTTCAAAAACATCTTTCCCCATGATGGAGCTCAGAAATTAGGTATAATGAAAAAAGCATCTGTTAAGTGTGTTTGGCTGTATAAAAATCAACTTCAACAATGAAATTTTATGTAAATCTTTCACAGCAGATCAGCTCCTAAAAACTGACTTCTGTACACAAAGAATTAGCTAATACAGGCTAAGCTAGCCAACGGATCACTTCAATGAGTAACAAGATGTATGCCTTCACTGCTGTTGACATTATGACTTATTTTTCCCTATTGGTCATATATTTTTCTAGGAAAACATCTGCTAAACTTGACTGCTTCACCAGTTACTGGTCATCTTGAAAATGAGAATCATAGAATGGTTTGGGTTGGAAGATCATCTAGTTCCACCCCCCCCACCACGGGCAAGGACATCCTCCACTAGACCAGGCTGCCCCAAGTCCCATCCAAGCTGGCCTGAATTTAATTTATTAATGTATTATTTATTATTTATCAATTTATTATTAAATAAATAATAATAAACCAGTCATAACAATATCCAGGCCACTTGTGGTGGTGAAAAAGTGTGCAAAAGTTCCTTTTAAACTTTCTCAGTAAGGAGATACTTACAGGGGGTGTTTTCACAACACCCTTAGAATTCTCTGCAAGAGTTTGTTCTCTTTTACGTGGACTTTGCTGCAAAGTGCCCATCTGCTCTTCTTCACTGAGAACTGCTGACCCTTCCTGTTTCATCAAGCCGGCTGGAGGTTCAGATGGGTCAGGAGCACCTTGAGTTACAGAAACGGACTGAGTCTCAACCTCTTGACTTTGCCAGCTCTTTGTTAGGGGAGAGGAAGTTTGTTTAGGACAGTTGCTTGGTTCTGCCATCACCTCTCTCAAAAATCTCTGTAAGCGAGTTTTTCTGGGCATGTTCTTGTTAGTGACTGCTCGCCTGAGGTGCGTCTCTTCAGCTACAACATAGACACGGCAGCGTCCTCTGGTCACGGCTGTGTATACATGCTGCCAGTGCTGACGACCAGCATTGCCAACCACGTAGACAACAGTTTTTTCCTCAGAACCCTGAAACATGTTTAAGAAGCCTTATCAAAGTAAGATCTCCAGTAAGTAGTTTTAAAAAAAAAAAAAAAAAAAAACCAAAAACAAGGAAATTGGAGGCCACTTGGGACACTCAAGAAGGAATTTTAGTTTCAAGAGAGCTTCCAACTCTTTCACATGAAAATACAGTACATTAGCAAGATAAAGCCATGATAAAGTTTTATCAGCTCATGGCTTCTTTATTTTTACCTGAAATGTGTGAATAGTTCTGGCCCATGCATGTTTTATATGACATAGCTTCTTCAGTGCCTTATACTTCACAGTGAATGTGGAGCCGTACGTGCTGCTGATGGTCAATAAGCGCTGTTTATCAATGTCCACATCCTAAAGAAATAGCACACCACCACTCAGCAGTAAGCTCGTATCAGCAGTTTGATCAATGTCTACACATCTGCGTATGTCCATATGCTAGCTTTCCCTGAAATTACAACAGTCACAACTGAAATAGTTTCAGAAGACACTAAACCCAAAAGATTGCTATCTTTCACTGGAAAATAGTTTCACTGTGCAGGGCCTACCCTAATGCCCTCTGTTTTGTAAGAAAAATGCTGACAAAGGAAGTTTTAACCCCCAGATAGCTTCGATTATCCTAGGGTACAGTGAAGTAATACCAGTGAGGCCATTGAACAGTTTGCTGCCACAACCCGAGAAGAGCCTACTCTCTCCCGCCAACCCTGAGTGCTCCCCCCTGCCCATGCACAAATATTGATCCTTTCACTGGACCCTTTGCTGGGTCAACTCAACTCACTGAACCCAGCAGAAAAATACAGGGTTTGTGTTGCTGTATTTTTTGGTCAGCTTAGTTTTCTGCCAGAGACGCACTCAAGCTGTAACATTAGCTTCATTCTTTACTTAAGATTATGTTTCTACCTATATAATATCCAAAGCATTATGCATTTTGATTACAATACATTTGAGTATTTACAAAACTTATTTACACTGGACATGAGCAGGCCAACTAAACACATTTTACAAAAACACCCAGAGATTTTTTTTTTTTTTTTTTAATTTGCTATTGCAAGTCTGCCTCTTTCTTGCCTTTCACATGATAGTTTAGCAGAAAAACTAAGTATGTATTCTGGGCTAAAATTTTAAAGCGTGAACTGTTTTGTTATGGGGAATAAACAAGGACTGATTCAGTTACCACTAGGGGTTTTTGTGCAAGTTTTTGCAGCAAGGACTTACTCCTGTTATGAAAAATATATCTCCATTGCATAGTCGTTTGCCCTCCTCAGCAGGCTCTGCAGCAAAGGTAGCTTCTCCACTTTTGCATTCATGGCGTTTAGGATCCTGTCCGAAACCAGAGTCCGGCAACAGGTCCTTGAGATACGTATTCCGCATGCAGGAAATCTTGTCATCAATTTGAAATACAAGTCGGTTTTTATGGTCTCTAGGTCGGAGGAAGAAAAAGGGAGAAGCGTATTTACAAAGTATGCATTTACCGTCTCTCAGTATTTCGTCTCTTTCCCCTCTCTATACTTGGGCCAGATTAAAAGCCTTAATAATGTTCAGAACAGTTAAGACAACTCACATTTAAAAGATGTTTCTTGAACTTTTGTAAAACCTTTTCGTAAAAAAAACAGTAATAG